CTGGTGATGGTGCCGCATCGCGACATTGTCCACCCCGAAATCCGGCGAAGTGCGCAGCTGTTTACACATTTCCGGCAGCATTTTTTCGCAATACACTCCCAGAATCCAGTCAACTCTGTGGTGTACCTCTGGGGTGCACCGCGCTTGGGCATCTTTGGCGGAAGCTACGAGACCTTGAAGATTTCGAGGGGTGCTTCGGCTTGGAGATGGGCGAATACGACAGTTCTGAATTCGAAAAGTTGTTGATGCCCCCATCTGGGCCCACGACTGCGGATGAACAATTGATCGATGCGCCGTCAGATGAGGAGAACAGTTTGGATCGGGAAGGAGGCGAGGAGGAAGACTTTGAAGATGATGATGAGGATTTGGATTGAAACCTTGAAGCAATCGCGGCCGACTTCGCTTCATCATCACCTGAATATGAAGACAACGCTTTGCAAAAGGAGACGGGGCCTGGGACCACACACCCCTAAACCAGCCAAGTGGCCCCTAAACCCCTAAACCCTAAACCCCTAAACCCCTAAACCCTAAACCCCTAAACCCCTAAACCTTACACCCTAAACCGACATGTTTGGAGTTGCATCGGGCCTGAGGCCGTTGCCAGCTGGCAGTCGAGTTTCGTCCTGGCAGGCCGGCTGTCTTAAACCCCTTATCATAGCCCTTATGGAACCCTTTAAGGAACCCTAAATCCCCATTCTAATAATTGAGGCCCCCACATTTGGGGGATGCAAACACCCACAGTCGAAACACGTACGTGCAAGTATGTTTTCCTAGACCTCTTAAACCCCAAAGCCGACGTCTAGACATGATCTGGAGCCATCGCGCTATCTGTGCCTTCCTCTCTACCTATCTATCTACACTTCAGTCTACCTTTCTATCTATCTCTGTCTATCCACCCATCCGAATCTATCCTGCGCCGTCTCTTAGCCGAGCTTGTCGGGTGACACTTTTGGAAACGGCTCTTTTGCAGAGAGTTTGGAGTGAGGCTTAAGCCTAAGTTCAAGTTGAGGGTTAGGGCTAGGGGTGCACAGGCAGTTAGGGCTTGGAGGCTAAAGGATTTAGGGCACAGCGGCAACGACGCTTCGACAAAGCGATTATGCATTGATACCTTCGGGATTCTCCGGTAGGAAGAGGCTCCTCAAGAGGACATTGATGGTTCTTCTGTGAAACCGCAGAAGTTGGCTTTCGTGCGCTAGTCGGTCAACTAGAAAGTCCATCCGAACTAGTCAAGTTCGGGTCAGTTAATTCAATCAATCATCAGCTCACCAGCACAATCTATCAACAAGTCTCCGTCCCCCTTGTGACAGGGCAGCGGTCCCTCCCAGCCACCCGGGAGCCGAGTGTGCTGAGGGAGGCAAGTGCCGTACAGGGTTGAGGGATTTTAGGCTTTACGTCGCTTCGAGTCATTTCTGTCTTGCCGCCTCACCTGAGTTTAGTGCTCATCGTCAGCTGTGCAGGCTGCCAAGAAGATCTCCTTCAGGGAAGCCGGACAACAGAAGTACCACGGCTGCGTGCGCTCTCTGCACCCATTGAGCCTCTTGTTTTGTGCGCTGAGGCTCCAAGCAGGAATCAACGCCGTGACAAACGCGGTGAAGGTGACCCTGGGACCAAAGGGCCGAAACGTGGTGCTCCAGAGAGAGTCGTTCCAGGCCGGGCGTCTTTTTCATCTTTCGTCGTCTCTGCCACCAGATGTAACGTCCTGCGCAGGTTCCTCAGATCGTCAACGATGGGGTCACCATTGCTCGTGCAATCTCACTGCAGGCTTGAGAGAGACTTCGAGTAGTTGATGGCTGCATGCGAACCAGGACATCGTCGCATTATGTAGTGTTGCACGCAGACAGGACAAGGAGATGAACCTCGGCGCAAAGCTCCTTACGCAGGCACATGTGGGCGGTTCTCAGTGTCAAGCCACTTGCCGGTTTCCAGTTTATACCCGGCTCAAACGCACCCTGCAGTTGGACCCTACTGAGCGGCTTCGATTCTTGATTGCAGCTCCAGAAGTGAAGTGTGGCCTCAGGCTTCCGCGAAGTCTGAGACCAACGCGGGGGATGGCACGACCAGCGCTGCCGTTCTCACCCAGGAGGGGGATGAGCTGGGATAAGCAACAAAACCCTATTCCCCTGAGCTCTAAGTCTAAACCCCAGCCGCAGCCCTAGACCTTGGATTCGCGGAACGCTCAAAAGCCCTCTGACTGACTCTGAGACCCTATGGGGTTTTCCGAAAATAGGGGACCCTAATATAGCACCCTAAATAATAGGATCCTTACTATAAGGACCCCAAAATAAGGTACCCCTAATTTCCGGAAATTCACCTATCAGTAGGGTTGTAGCCATGGGAACTCCACGAGCAAGAGCTCCAGCTTCCCGCATCTTATTGCAAGCCTGAGGAGATGGTCAACGAGGCGCCGAAGTGTTTGGGTTTATTTAGGGTTTGGGGATTTAGGGTTCAGAGGTTGAGAGTTTAGGGTTCGGGATTTTAGGGCTTGAGGGTTTGGGGTTTCAGGTTTTGGAGTTTTAGTTTTGGGGTTTCGGTGTTTGGGGTTTTGCCATTGCTTTGATGATGTGTTGTAGTTCTGGCGGCTTTGGTATCGAATAATACTCTTATGGCCGTCTTTTTACTCGTTGTAGCCTCATGTATGTGGAGCCCGGGCTATTTGTTCAAGATATCTCGGGACGCCTGTCGAGGGCATGCAGCTCGTGAGCAGTGGGTACAACCCAGTCCTCATGCAGAAGGGCATGAAGGCGGGGTGCAGGGCTTAGGGTTCAGGGTTTAGTTCATCACGCGAATGGAAGGACAACCCATCTGCAGCCTGATGCTGGACAATCCGTTTGGCGACCGGGGGGTGGGGTGGGCATTGCGTTTATTCACCGCGATGGGAAGTAGCTTCACTTACCGGCTGCTTCTGTTTAGAAGGATGACTGCAGAATGGAAAAAATCCGTGGCTACCGTAGCCAGGGGAAAGGCCAACATAGGCTCGCGCCTGCGTTCCTTCTGCGGCGGTTCGCATCCGTGTCTTCACGAGGGAGAGACGTGCGACGTTGGAATCCCGTGAAAACTCCGTCTCAGTTGTTTTTTTTTGTTCGCCATCTCCAGGCAGCTGCCAACTTCATTGCCTCCGAGGCCCGGGTTTAAGGGTTTAGGGTTTGGGGTTTAGGATTTAAAGTTTAGGGCCGTGAAGAGCAAACACAGGGCTCACGCAGCTCCGGAAGCAAAGATCTCGAGCTTCTTGGCAGGTTGACCAGCTGGCAAAGCCAGTTCAAAGCGGCGATCTTAAAGGCTGGGTAGCTCACGGCTTGTGAATGGATGATTCCAACTTTTGCTGAAAAGTATCATTCCAGCCATGGAGTATAGCGGCCATAGTTCGATTCGGAGCCATATTCAGCAGGTAAGAAGCCCAGCGTCAGCCGACCGCTCTGCCACGCCAGATATCGCCACAGTTTCGGTCGGCGGAGACGAGGGCATGGGGCAGAAGATCTCTCAGGTGCAAGTTGCTCTGTAGGGGCTCGGGAACAGCGTGGCTTGCGATTCAGAGCAAAACGGTGTGCAGATGCCAGGCTTTCGAGACAGTCGGTGATACTGGGAATGTCGTGGGAGCCCTGGCAACAGCACTCTTCATGCGGATGCGGCAGTTCCTGCTTCGTGAGTCTCCACCATACTTCCGACAATTAGCAATGTGGTGCGTTCCACACTACGGAAGCCTAAACGATGCAACCTGTACCTGAACCCTCACAACCTCAGTTCTCGTTGAAAATTCCCAACCTCTGAAACCCAAACCCCGAGGCTCTACGACTTAGGCCATCGGCCAGGAGGTGACAAGAATGGAACCTCAGGTGACTTCTTGTTATATGATTGGGCAGTCTATTATACCATTCTTTTAACATATAGTATTTTGCATTGTGCTGTCTAAAATATATATATAGATAGATAGATAGATAGATCATTCTTTACTTTATATTATGAAACCGACTTCTCCAGTGAGGTGATCGAAGAGTCGCAGGTGCTCGAGGATGAGGCCGGATGAGAAACCATCCAAACCCAGACGCGCAGGTAAATATATTTCAGTGAGTTTAGATAATGCAAATACATACTATTTCAATTCACGTCAAAGCATTTCAGTTCAAACAATGCATCTAACTAGTAATCTTAGCTTTGTGGCTTCTCGGCTTCTTCGCTTCGTGGCTTCCTGGCTGTTTTGTGCTGGTAGCGCCTTGGTTTCACCAGGAGAGCGCAGATAGTCGCAGATCGTTTCGCCTGTGAATGATCGTGGAAGAGCCCTAAACCCTAAACCCTAAACCCTAAAGCAGAAGCATCCTCGGGCCTTCGAACTTCTGCATCCCCACGTAAACCAGATCGAAACCAATCGCCCAAAGGCCCAACACCCTGAACCTCAGCCCCAAATTCAAACCCCCAAACCTCAAAGCCCTAGCAGAATAGGGTTTCAGGGTATAATATACTATAAGTATAATAAGGAACCCCCAAAACCCTCGACTCGACAGCCTTTGAGTTCGGCCAGGTCGAGGTGAGCGAAGGCCTGACTCTCGATCGAGGCGGTCGGCTTTGGGGTGGGAGTCTTGGGTTTTAGGGTTTGCGGTTTAGGGTTTAGGGTTTAGGGTTTAGGGCTCAGGGTTTAGGGTTTAGGGTTTAGTGCTATGAGTATGATTGTTCGCACCATTCTGTTTTTTCATGTTCTAGTTATTAGTATCAGTATTGTATTGTCATTCATTTATTTTGTATTTCAGAGTTCGGGTCCCAGGGGGACCTAGGGTTGAGGGTTTTTCTAGCTCAAAGCGTGGGGTTGAGGGCTTTGGGGCTTTGAGCTTTGGCCTGGGCTTTGAGGAAAGAGGCAGAGACCTAGACATTCGAAGCTGCAACAAGTTCTGAAAGGCTACATCTCTCCCTATTTCGTCACGGACGCACAGCGCCTGGTGGCAGAGCTCAAGAAGTTCGGAGCTCAACACCCTGTCGCGGATGCCGGATTGCTGCATGAACCGACTCCAAGCTAGGCTTACCTTCAAGCCTATAGCTGAAACCCTCAACGAACCCCACAAATTCCACGTATCCCCTTGCGCGCATGGTGCGGTAAACGTCCTTGTAATCAGGGCGCTGCCAGGTACTTATGTTGCCCTGCACCTGCCATAAAACAATAACCCCCTTGAAGGGACCTGGCTTCTATGAACTTAATATAGGCGCCTTAATGATTACCTATACTATTTTGGGGGTTCCTTATTCTAATGCTACTGCAAGGGGCCCCAAATCCCTATTCTAATTATGAAGGCCCCTACATTACTCTCACAACGGTTCAGGGAGGGGAAGCTGAGGCCCCGAGTCCTCGTGACCGATCAGAAGCTCTCAGATGCTTACGACATCCTTACCTTGCTGGAGGCTCACTTGGGGCACTTGAGCAGTTTTGGTGTTTTAGGCTTCAAGGCTTTGGGGCTTTACAGTTTCAAGCTTCGATGATGTTGGATCTTTGATTCCGACATCAGCACGCAGCCAAACCCACACGTCTGTTTGGGGGCGCTACATGTAGGCCATGCCCATTCACGGTTTCTGCAGTCGGTCGATGTCCAAGCTCTGCCTTTGCGATTGTGCGACGAAGGACCTGCTGAAGACCAAGCAGCCTATCTTCATCATCGCAGATGATGTGACTGGCGAGGCATTCAGGGCCGGTGATAGAGTATGATGGCAAGTGTACCCAGAGCAGGAACCTGGTCAAAGCTGGCAATCGTAGTACTGCGAAGGCTGGCAGTGGTCATGGTAGTTCTTGTCGTGGTTGTGATGCTGGTAGCTTGTGATAAGAGTAGGCGAAAATTAAGAGCACAGCAACAAGAGCAGTAACAGTCTCGACGACAATGCTGGTATCATTAGCTTGAAGCGGAAAGTGCAGGCGAAAAAGCAACAGTCGGAGAGTAAGAATACGAATGTTTCCAGTCGTGGCAATCCTTCAGCATACGGCGCAAGAGGAATCATGCTACCATGTAGCACTCACAGTATTGGCAGGAGCAAGTTTGATGAGTAGCAGCAAGAACGAGAAGCAAGCATAAACGTCATACCAGAAGATTTTTCAAAAGATGATGACAGCCGCTGATACTACCGGTGCCTTGGGCATGGCCATGTTGGATGTTGGATCGGCAGGCTCTTCAGACCCTTGTTCTCAACAAGCAGCGGGGCATCCTGGATGTTGTCGCCATCAAGGCTCGGCGGACCTCTTGGGGCAAATGTATGTCTGACTAGTTCACGATGACAACTGTTTTTTTCGTATTCATGTCCTCCAGCATGCTTATCAGTATCATGTTTTCCATGAATCTGACATCAATTTTGCAAGTTTCTGGGTCCGGCCGGCCTCGAATGCCGCCAGGCCCCTGCCTTCGGCGCGCGGAAGACGGCAATTTTGCAAGACCTTGCGCTGGCCACAGGCCAGGCGATGCTCCACAGAAATATCGAAGTCGGTTCTCAGCCAGTTGGGGGGGGGGGAGGGGGGGAGGCAGAACTATTTTCGGATGTCTCTTCCTCCATATCTGAAGTGACCACTGCCGCGGGCATAGACTTCCTGTTTTCCCGTTCTCGGCCAGTTTACAGTTCGTCGAGACCGAAGGTGAGCAAACCATCTTCTCCCACATGTAGCTTCAGCAGAGACATGTGCAAGTGCTGTTCAAATCAAAGTTACTTTTCCCATGCGAAACAAAAGAAGAAATGTTAAAACGTGAAGGGTTTTACATTCAGAACAACGACTGCGTAAACAAGCAAATAGCAGGGCGGAGCAAACAAGACTATCAAACAGCAACGCGACAGCACAAAAATCAGAAACAGAGAGACTACTATCAACACAACAAAGAAAGCATAACAGAAAAATACAAGGTATGGGCGAAAGAAAACCGTGAAAAGCTTTTGCAACGAAAGCGCGAATACGGTAAAAAGACGAAAGAGAAGCGCATTCAAATAGTTACATGTGAATGTGGGAAGCAATTTCAAATCTGTTCCAAACAGAGACACGAAAAAGGCGAACGACATAAACAGTATTTGCAAACGTTGGAACAACAAACGGAACAATAATAATATTTAAATCTCATCTTTATTATTATGAGTAATACTAATAAAGATAAGCTAATATCCGATATCTATTTTGATAGAAGCGGATTTGGGTCACAAGCCACAACATTTAAAGATGCTAAGGCTAAAGATAAGAGTATTACGTTAGCGGATGTTAAGGCGTGGTTTTAAAAGAATCTGGATAGGAAAAGACCGATGTCGGGGTTTAATTCGTTTATCGCACCTTATGCGTATTATGAATATCAAATAGACTTATTCTTTTTTATTACAAACAATGATTTGAAGAATCAAAGGTTTAGAATCGGTTTAGTTATGATAGACATATTTAGTGAATTTGCGGTCGTTGTTCCTATTCAAAGCAAGCAACCACCCGCTTTATTAGCGGGAATAATGGAAGGAATAAACAAAATGGGGAAGACACCCGAATTAGTATATTCGGACGAAGAAGGTAGTTTAAACAGTGGTGTATTAAAAGAATATTTTGATAAAGAGAAAATAGAAACACATCAAACCAGAACACACCCCGCATTCGCGGAAAGGTTCATCCGCACGTTTAAAAACATGTTGTTTAAGAGAGTTGAAGCGGATGAGAAAAAGGGTAAAGAGAATATTCAATGGACGGACTATATATTTGAAATAGTGATAACATATAATAATAAATTGGTTCATTCGGCAACCGATTTAACACCTAAAGAAGCAAAGAAGCCCGAAAACGAACTCAAAGTTAAGGCTAATATCGCAATGAATGCAACTAAAACACGAAAGTATCCCGAATTAGAAAAGGGCGATAAAGTCAAAATATTTAAGAAAAAGGATAAATTGGATAAAGAAAGAGTGAGCTCGTGGCAAGATAAAATTCATATTGTAAGCAAAATCACCATCACGTTAGGGCAAACATATTACCATCTGGAAGGTCAAGCACGACCATATTTGAGACATGAATTGTTGAAGGTGTAATTCCTTTTTTAAAGAAAAGGTATATAAAGGCAAGAAGTGTTATTCAAATATAGGCTAATGCCTGACTACAAAGAAGGCAAAATCTATAAGATTTGGGACACTACTTTTAGCAGTTGTTATGTAGGAAGCACTTGCGAAACCTTGAGCAAACGAATGACGAGACACCGAGATAAATACAAACAGTATTTACAAGGGCGGTATCCTTTCATAACCGCTTTTCGCTTGTTTAATGAGTTTGGTTGTGAAACTTGCAAAATTGAGCTTGTGGAGCTGTTTCCATGCAACAGCCGCGCAGAGCTTGAAGCAAGAGAGGGACACCACAGTAGAAACACAGAATGCGTAAATAGAATACAATGTGGTAGAACAAGTAAGCAATATTATTTAGATAAGATTGACTATCACAAAAAATTAGGCAAAGAATGGCGAGAGAAGAACAGAGAGCACAAAATTGAACATGATACGAAAAGAACACAAAGAAGAAATAACGACCAAATTGAAGGAAGCAAGGCTTTGCGAATGTGGTTGCTACGTGTCACTACGAAACATGGCAACGCACAGAAAATCGCAAAAACACGACATGCTCATGCAACAAATCAAATCATCTACATCTGACTCAGTTTGATATTATGTATTCTAAAACAGATAATATCAAACTTTTAACTCATTGAATGTTTGGGTTGGAGTGATAATTCCTATACCATTGATGATATTGAAATTGTATTGGGACAAAAACATCATTACATTCATGGTCGTAGATATTTGCGCCATGAAGTGCTGAAGTTGTAACGTGATTTGTAGGCATGTGTGTGTGTGTTGTGATTTCGTGCCAGATGCTGTGCAATTGCAGTCAATTCTGCTCCATGTATAACCTTGTCATTCTGTTTCTGCTCGATGTTGCGCAGCAGAACAACCACATCAAACGGCAAACAGAGCATACATGTCCATAGACACACAGACGAACATGACACAGCGTTCACAGTGTTGTTCCGTTGGTTTTTGCGCCATGGCTCCCAAAAAGCGCCCCGCTGCTGCACAGTCGCGTTTTCCGGGCGCAGTGAGCGCTGAAGTGAAAGAAAATCCCGTATTTCAGCCTGGGCAGTCATCCGTCAATCTCCAAGCCTGTCACCTCATCCCCGTCAAGGAGAAGGACAAATGGATACCGAAGATGATTTCAGCTTTTGGTGGCGACGAGCATTTTTGGAATGAATATCATGGCACCGCACTGAATGCGAGTGGTCTGAGAGCGGAGCTCCACAAAGCCATGGACGCAGCTTCGGGGATTAAGTTGGCCTTGTTGCCCGACTTGCAACAGTGCCATGCGAAAGCGAAAGATAAAAGTTCTCGCAAGTTCCTCGTCCTGCACCAACAGCATGGAACAGGTCAGCTAAACGTTCACTTCCTTTTTGCGAACACCGCGGTGGAGGACATCACTGAAGAGAAGGGCGGCTTCACCGTGAAGTTCGGCGGAGGGCTGTGCGTGCTGGTTGGGCAGAAAGTTCCGACACAGTTTTTCAACGTATGCAGTTTCTTCCCGAAGCAGAAGAAGAAGGTCGAGGAGGATATTCAAGAGATGTCCGATGTCAAAGAGGTCATCCGAGAGTCGCTGCTGGAGAAGGTCAGAAGCTATAATATGGTCGTCAAAGGCAAGCTTGCAAAAGGAAAAGCCAAGAAAGCAATCGCAGGTATCACGGGTGGAAAAAACCTTCGCATCATTTACCGCTTTGCAAAGGACTTGCAGTTCTACACCGTCCGTGGTCTTCAGGCGCGCGCTCTGCGGTTGTTGGGGCACAAAGACTTCAAGGACTTGAAGAACGGCAAGCACTTCACGGGCGATGACTTCAGCGATGAGGAAAGCACGGAGGAGGACAGGAGCGCCCCAGATGAAGATGCACAGAAGGACTTGCTGATGAGAGCGTGTCGTGATAGCGTTGCGCTTTCA